ATATTGTGTTTGAAACGGTTCAGCTTTGCAACCAGGATAATTGCATTTAAAACCGGAAGAATTAAGCGGACCACTAGCTGGCGTGTGTCCGCTTGGATGAATGGGGGGGGAGTCATAGGCACCACCTTTCCCAAGCTCAATTGGTGTTGGATAGCCAGCGCTCGGACTACTGGTGAATTGTGAGCCGTGGTCCCCTGGAGAGTGTGAATAAGACCGCCCCTTATCCGCTGTTTGTTGCCAATATGATGGCTGGGCCGGACAAGCCACTGGTGATAGACTAGCAGACATGTCCGTTGAACTTTCCGGAGAAAGAAACGATGGTGATGCTGATGTGAGAGGTGGCGGGATATACTGTTCAGAAAGGCGACGGGGTGGTGGTTCTTGAATATTTCGTGCTTGTGGGGGGAGTGGGGTTACTCCCGGTGAAAATATACGCGGAACCGCGTTTATTGGACCGAGATGACCATTCAATGCGTCTCCTATAGATGGGAGATTCTGACTGTTTTCAGGAGATTTGGCAGAGATAGATTCAGGTCGAGATTGTAATGCGGGGAGTGTTTCTCCCGCAGCGCAATCGGACGTGGATATCGTGTATTTTCTTAACGTAGGAGAAGTAGCCACTGCTTCTTTTACGCACACACGCGGCTGAGATTCCGGTATCGATATCGGTAGTTTTTTAAGCCGAGACCAGTTCGCAATATCTTTATCTATCGGGGAGGAAATCATGGGGCTCTGTAGATGTTGTGGAGAGGCCTGAGGCTCTAAAAAATATGGCGGCCGCGACGGTGCCCGCAACTCTTCGCCAAACGACCTCTCTACTTTCGCGCCTAGTTTCTGGGGCTCCCCTTGCATGTCATCATCCTGCAGAATTAAATTCAAGGCATGTTGGGCTGTTTGTCGCGCGCAGGAGGTATGAACATCTGACATCGAAGTATCCTGGGCATTTCCCGCCTCGTCCACATCACGGTAGTTATCGGGGCTACTAGATTCACGCGGCGAATCGGTTGGTAGAGGTTTCTGTCCAAGCTCATGGGCAAGTTGTGGGTCGGCTAAGGAGCTGAGAATTAGCACGTCGCGATATGCTGGTTGGATTTTCTTGCGACGTCGACGAGGATCCTTACGATCACGTCCCCCAGCACTTCGCTTGCCCGGTGAGTCCGGCTCTTTTAAGAAAGGCGGAGGGGTGACATGGGGTCTATAATCGATTTTTGTAGGTTGAAGGCGAGGAGAAGCATTGCATACATCATCAGAATCGTAAACGTCGTCCATCATCGTCATGGTGGTGATTTCCCCAGACACATTAGAAAATATTAGGCGTCCTTTCTATATATACTTGGGATATATCAGACGGAGATGGCCCTTCTCCGTCACAAGCCTTCCTTCACCTAGTCGAATTCCCGTGTTCGAATTTAGGCGCTTAGAGGCTGTACTATTCGAGTTGATTTCTCAAGCGCTTAGAGCATGTTTAACTGGATTGGTGAGACCAAGGTGAGGAACGATGACGGCGAATAACCAGTTATCTAGGACTGTGCTCCGGACAAACGTCAGTATAAGTCTCAAATAGAAAAAAAGAGTGACCAATACACCACCATATGGGTTGCACAGGGAGTAAAAAGCCATAGCAGAAATAGAAAAAAAGAAAGTCATGGCAGGATGTTAATGATACACGGGAAATAAGGGGGAGAATGTATATGAGTAAACAAATACACGGCTGGCAAGTGGTAGGTAGTGGTGGAATTCGGAGAGCTGTTGGAAGAACGACATGTGGGGGGAGGTTGACCGGGGCAATAATAAGAACTTTCAAGAAGTCGCAGATACAGCTGACATAGAGTGGACCAGTGCAGGCAGATTCGGGGACGTAGCAAGAAAAGTGGAATGTACCGCTATATCATACCTCCGTCAAGAGGGTGGTGTATCGAGATGACGAATATACAGAGAGTTTGATATAATATGCCGTTCCAGGAGACAAGAGGATCACGGTGGAGGGTAGCCAAGCGTCAAGTGGCCATGCAGCGGTTGAACGATTCGCTCACTAGCATGACGATTTCCACTATGCTCTCCTACTAGGACCAAATAAAGCGTTTCAAGGAGGCTTGCATAGGATCCCGGAGGTGGCTGCGAAAGGGAGGAGACAGCTTGGGGTGTGAAGATAGATAGGCAGATAGATTCCGAAGGTAGAGCGGAGGTTCAGGGGGAGCCACAGCGAAGGAGATGGAGAGGTCCGGGAAAACGAGAAGAGAGGGAGGAGATCGAGTTACTAGGGGATCGAGGGGAACTGTTGGGAGCGTGGGAGTGTTGTGGCCGTTGCGTTGTGGTAGCGGTGGTGGTTGCTCGTATATTTTGTTTTCTCAGCGGCGGCCGAGGGTGCGGGAACCTCGCTGTCACTAGCGGGCGCACTCTAATGCAGAGCCTCACCTGTCGGCTGACTGCACCCGCTTTACCTGGGAATTATGATCAGGGTTCCTTGCTTATGGATGGGCCCAGCAAGCAAATCAAGTTCTTCAAAAAGGGCCTCGAGAGGACAGAAAAGAAAAAGAAAAGAAAAAGAAAAGAAAAGAAGCTTCAAAGTATGAAGGGATGTCTGTCCCTTCCGGTTCTTCAACGGTATGTCAACGGTTCGTCAACACCGGTATATCCTGGCTCTCTCCCCTATCTAACTTCTAAACTAGAAAAGACATGAGTCGCTTTCTCCAGCCTGCGGAGTACAGTCCAAATTGGGTCGTTATTCTGTCTAAAACCTCCTTGTCCCTATGAATAGTAGTGGGTGGTGGTGCCCTCAAAAGTTCAGCTCAACCGCCGCTTGGTTGCCAGCCACGCGGTGCAGCCATGCAATGCAAGATAAGAACAAAATTATATTAGAGGGATTGATGTGGCGCCAAACATCGTTGGCGAGACCCAATATATTTATTGTGTGAACATATCGATCTATGCTACGGAGTATGTTTACCTGCCTGCCACAAGCGACAGCAGACAGGACTCCAGGAAACGTCGGAACATCGTACAGGTATCCACCTCCGGATCCACTCCTATCCAGGCATTCGGAGCGTGGCCGGCTGAAAAGTGCGGCTGCTGTGCCAGGTGAGCGAGTTCCTCGCTGCGTCCACTACTGGCCGGCCGCTGGTCTTGACAAGAAGGATAAGACCAAATCGCTTCTCTGAACACACATCCAAACGAACTTTCCAATTTCTCTGTCTACGAGAAAATAATGGCTCCCCGCCACCATCTTTATTCTCCGAATGATCATCTCCTACTAGCGATTTGGACTTATGGAGACCGGGGCGGAATAGTGTCCTCACTTTTGCTGCAGAATCAAGGCTTCGCAAACGCTGCGCCACCCCCCCTTCCTGCGGCTCATGCAACCGTCATAATTCAACAAAACCACTCTGTGTAAATAAAATATAAAACCATAGGAAAACCCCTTCCTCTCCTTTTCAAACTCTGGGCCAATCTTCCACGCCCTCCTCTGGAGTTCTCTGAGTAATCACCCAAACCTCCACCCCGTTATTATGATGAAAATGAAGAGCGGTGTTGATCACGGTGACCTGGCATTCCACGCTAAACGGGCAAATGTCTGTGGAATGGACATCGTTGTGTTGGGCTATCTTTGGTTTCATAATAATAATAATGGATCAATTATTCTACGCTAACCTTGCGGGATTTCCGCTACAGGGATGAGGTTCGGTCTGAAGGATTTCTCTTGTGGGTTGTGGCTCAGGAGTCAGGACCAAAAAATAAATAAGAAAAACAAATAGGAGACCCGAAACGAAGTTTCGAGGAATCATTCAGCAACACTCATGCGGGGCTTGTTTCATATGAATAATGCCCTGGGAAATCAGAAATATTCATAAAAAGCTAGTTTTCCATGTCTGGCCTCTTGCATAGAGAATCACTTCGGCTCTGGTTCGTGTTCGCTTCGACAATGTTTTGAAACAAATGTCATTTCGACATTTTTATGCTGTCTGTTTCTTCTCCATTTAGTCCCTCTCTTAAATCTAGCCTGACAATCTGTGCGTTTGAATCCTAACTACATGACTTGCCGTGGAAAACCAGCAATTTCATTGGGCTGCCAAAATACGGGGAAAAACCAAGCTTGTCAATGAAACCTTCTTTTTTCAATCAACGGTGTTTCCTGGGCGGCTTTGTAACGGGAACGTACCAACTTTAAGCAGCTTATTCCATTTTTTAACTAACTTTTTGTGAACTCTCTGGAGTTCCACTCAGGACTCACTTACCCTTCACAATAATGGCTCATTGTCAGCAAATGCTGAACTAGCTAACTATCGCCAGAAATCAAGAGATTGAGTGATGAATAATTTAGCCATAAGAGAACGAAAAAAAAATTGCTCAAACACAAGCCATATCTAACCAGGTGTTGTGATATGATGTCGTTCGTCTCGCGAAATTTTGTTAAGGACCGGTAGCACGCGAAAACACATAACTCCTCGAACGCAAGGAACATTGGAAATCCAATGGTTTGAGATTGCTTAATTTCTTCAAGCTCGAATGTTTGCAATTTACTACCGCTAGCTGGCGAAATGCTCAATATACACATAAAAGTCCAAAGTATATATCTGGTCAACTTGACACGTTTCAACTAGCACGGGCTTGTGATCGGGCAGAAGGATTGGGAATAAAATGGACGTATGCCGTCATTCCGATTGCGAGGCATGCCACCTCATCAGCCATCGCTGATCCGCATCGGATCCTCTCTTCTTCTTTGGGCGTCGGAGCGACGGATACGAGGAATACTGACACGGGCCATATCTGGCTAACGGACGGACATCATGCATCGATCCCGGACCTTCACGAACCATCATTATGATCATCATTAGCACAACAATCAAAAGCTTTATGGGTCCACGACCATGCATACGACCAGATTCCATCCGTTTCGCCCGTCGTTCATCGCCGGACAGGATCAGTGATCTAACAGGGGCGGGGAGGGTGAGAGGCGACGGAAGGGAAGGTTTGCCAAACTGGTCCCAACAGAAGTCGGAATACTCGAATACGGGCATGAGCCAATAGCTGTCAAAAGCGCACAAGCCATCCAGACCGATTTATGTCTGGACACGAGTGGGCCTGCATCCATTTTCTTTTTTCTTTTTTTTTCTCGTCCTCCCGCAGATGCGGCTGAGGGGTCACTCTCTCGTTTTGCAGCTGTGGATGTTGGCAGCCAGTGACTGTAAGCGGCGGAAAATTGCGTGTGGAGGGGCACATAGTGTTCATATTTCCTGAGGATTATTATTTTGTTCTATTTTATATATTTTTATGCTTGCTGGCAGGCTCCGGATGAGGTTTGCTGACTGCTTGCTTGGAGGGAGAATCTCGCTCGCCATGCGGCTGAGGTAGCTAGCTGATCGACGTGTGAGAGACTTTCTCAAGCTGCAAGGTATTTCCTGGCTTTTTCTGGAACACTGTGCTGTTTGTTCTGGAAGGATTTTCTGTTAGAAAGTCTCTAGCGGCTGAGTGAAGGCGACAGAAACGCAATGCATAAACCCGCTGCCCGAAATGCTAATGTCCGGAATCCGTCTTAAAAATATTTCAGGATTCTTTCACGCTGGTTTGTTGACCTCGTGGCACAGCCATCGGCTCGATGACCTCCTTTTGAAAAGAAAACTAGAGCTGGAAAATAGGGAATATTGCCCGATCATTCACGGAGCCACTTGGAGGCTACTCCGTACTCATTAATTTGATAGCCAAGGCTAGAATCCATGACGAATCATAACCAAGCCGTTCAGTGCTGATGATGTGAAGTAGGTATATACTTAACTCCCCGTTCTCTGAAAAGAATGGAGGAGAAGTGATGATCCAATTGGCCTGGAATACTCCGTACTTAGTGTGACTGTATGCATCTGTTTTCTGAGATAGATAGTGATGTGCATGAATGAATGTTGACAATTACATATATACCTTTTGCCTGATTTTGAATGCAGACATGGAAAGCTTCTTAATGGGGATCGTTGTTGAAACTGTAATAATGATTAATTAACAGAGAAAAAGTATAATTGAGCACCAGTTCTAACTCCCCTATGGGTTCATTATTCCAATGGCCAAATCCAAATCAGATCGAAACATATGTGAGAAATGAGAGGTGATGCAATTTTCAGTGATTCGAGTCTCCATAATGTGGTGCGCGTTCACATCCATGGATCCCTCCCGTTTAACCCCCATCTCTCAATAGCTTCACCCTATGACCACCAGCTCGATTTTTTTTTTTTTTTTTTTTTTTTTTTTTTTTTTTTTTTTTTTTTTTTGGGGGCAAAGGAACCCCCCCTCTTCCCCTCCCCTCCGGGGCCCCCCCCCCCCAAAAAAAAAAAAAAAAAAAAAAAAAAGAGAGAGAGAGAGAGAGAGAAAAAATGTACGATGATCAAAAGCTTCTCCCTTGTCAACTTGAAGTGAACATTGTTGATTGATATCTTCCCTTCTCCCACTTTATTTCCGAACACTTCTTCAACCGTAGGCATGGGATGTTTAGGCTTTTGTACTCTTCTCTCGTGTAGCATTCTAAACGCTCCGAATCCCAGAGCAATTCGTCTTTCCCTTCTAAATGTTGTTGAGAGGCTAGCCGAAGAATAGAGGGTGAAGGGGGGATATGGATCAGGAACTTTATCGAAAAAATAATGGCGGGATGAAATGTTTCGACTCTACCAAAAATAGAAACAAAAAGGAAAAAGAGAAAAGAAAATAGAAAGAAAAGGAAAAGGAAAAGGACAAGAGGGAAAATTATAAAGAAAATAAAAGGAAATGCTAAAAACGTTGTCTATCGAAGCTAAATTCTGCTTAGCAAGGCGTTTTCTACAAAGGACGAATCAACAAGGCTGACCAAGGCAAGCTATACTTAAACAGAAAAGAAAAAGAAAAGGACCGAATGACCAGGGAGTATTAGAGACAAAAAATGCACACACACATGCCTGCTCATTTGCACATCATTTCAAAAATGTGCATGACGGGAGAGAATTGGACCAAGGCGGAACCAGGGGCGAGGGCGGGCGTTAAGCGTTAAGCATTAAGCGTTAAGCGTTTAGCTAAGGCCAATCTCAAAGCTTCTCAGAGCTTCGCCTTGCGCTCCGCATCCTCCTGCAATTTTCTCACTTTATCCCACGTGGCCAATGCAAAAGGCCTCATTTGCTCCGCATATTCGCTTGCCCGAGCGCTGCTCGCCTGTCTCAGTGCATACCGCGCCGCAATACCCTGCATGATCACCGAGCCCCTGAACCCGTGAAAAGCGTCACCCCATGTCATATCCGCCCGGGGATCCCAACCTGCAGCCTCGCTATACCATCTCATCACATCATCGCGCGTCGGGAGGCCGGGTATAGAATCCGGAGAAAAGGAGGTATTTCCAGGCGCCCCGGCGACATGGGCGTAGGGCGAAACTAGGTTCGCGAGGTCCGAGAGCGGGTGGCCGATCGTGGCCATTTCCCAGTCTAGGACGCCAATGACGCGGTTCTCGGTCTTGTGGAAGACCATGTTGTCGATTTTGTAGTCGCCATGGACGAAAGTGGAGCGGTCGCGGGGATGGGTGGCCTTGTTGGAGAAGAAGCGGACCATGTCGTTGAAGTGCGGAATGTCGCCGACAGGGATCTTGGTGTCCACATCAACGGCCTGGGCTTGGGTTTTGGAGATGACGGAGAACGTGCTTATTTGACGGTCGTAGAAACCGCCGGCTCGCCCGAACTTTTCCATCCCGATTGATTTTGGGTCTACGCGGTGGAATTTGGCAAGAGTACGGGCAGCATCTTTCCATCTGTGGGTGTATGCCTTTCATGTTAGCCTATGATTACTTACACGATGTATGTGTGTGTATGCATGGAGTGGTGGCCGTACAATTCGGTTCGATCCCGGGGGCTTACTCCAGGCATAGCGGGGTCGGTAAACATCCGTCCGTCGAGGAACTCCATGATGTAGAACGCTGTGCCGATAACGCTGTCATCTTCGCAGAGACAGACGGTGCGGGGAACGGGTACGTCTGTCTGCTCGAGTGCGTGAATGATCTCGTACTCTCTCTCTACCCGGTGGGCTGTTTTCGAAAGCAGTTTTCCAGGTGGTTTTTTCCTCAAGACATGTTTTTGGCCATCGGCAGCTGTGATCAGGTAGGTTGGGTTGGATTGGCCGAATCCGAACTGGAAAACTCCAACAAAAGTCCGTATTAGCGAATATTCTTCGGTTTCTGCAAAATCGCAAGAGCGCATAGAATGATATTTCGTACCTGTTTCAAGTCCAAGGGTGTTTTTACAGCCGGGACATGGTGATTGAGATACTGCTCCAGGGAGGGCAGATCGATCGGTTGCCGCACAGCACCAGCCATCTTTGATCGAGGGGAGAAGTAGGAAGTGAGCAACACAGCTGTTGGGAGAATCTTTTTATTTATCAAGCCATACACTCTCAACCAGCTCCAGAGAAGTGCCCACCTATATAATGGAGAAGACAAGACCGGCGCTCCATCCCGATAGTTCGGCTGGCAATAAACCACTGCACTGCGGTTCCGTCGCAGCGCATCAACCGCGAGCCGAGGCTAACAAACGGGCGTTGAGAAGCGTGAGTGCCAAGCCTGGTCTTGCAGAGCTAAACCCAACAAGGCAAGTCGTTGTGATCGGGGTCTAACTCTGAGCGTAGATAGATACGATAGTTACTGCTGGGACATTCTCTTTTCACGCTCTCTATTTTTGTAGATCATTTCGCACGTCGTTTTATTTTGTTTGCGCTGCTATGTATATCCTTTTGATTTTACTCTCATCATTCAGCAGCTGTTTCACCGCTCAGCAGTTTTTCAATTAAATTGCCTAATGTTCGAAGCTGGAATCCTGGCTGCGTAGAATTGAGCCACATCATTTCATTATTGAAATTGAGTGGTAGGCTTGATTAACAGGAGTGAAGCGAGGATTGTCAGAAATGATAATACAGTTGCTTTTACTCAGCGCTCTTAACTTCTGACAGAGTACTCCGTACTCCGTAGTTGGCATCGACTTTACCTGCCACATATTTTGCGCCACAATGAGGAAGACCGAGGGCTGATAATGGGGGCGATGGCTAGAAAGAACCAGTGCTGGGTGCAAAGAGAAAAAGATGAGTTGGGTGCCTGCTAAACACTTGTTGTCTCTACGTAGTAAATGGAAGTTTACAAGTTTACCTGTTTCATCATTAACTGCTCGACTCATTGTACGGAGTACTGCACATGTTACGAGAGAAATAGCAATACTCAGTAAATTGCTCGACAACAAACCGCCACGACACAGCCTTATACTAGCTCATTCTAACGCAATCAATAGCTACAAACATGAGGAGAGCTAATAATGCAGCAGCTATTATGTACGGAGTACTAACGTACGGAGTAATATAAGAGAGAATATCCGAACTCATGATGACGCTAATGGCTGAGAGAAAGCCAACCTAGCCAGATACAGTTAGTGGGCTCTCGAGGGCGCTTTCCATGTGAATAACAGACGCGCGTGTATTTTCGCGACGTGACGCGGGTTCATCAATGAACGGTTGATTCGTTAACGATGCAGCCCGTTCTGAGGAGAGCCAGAACAACATTCTTCAATTTATACTTCAGATCTTTAACTCCCCTCCGCAATAACCACTCCCTTCCAGGGTCGAATATCAATTGGAGCAAACCAACGTTTTCCCGAAGCCCCAACCCCGAGGATCGCCATACCATGACCAAGGAGGCCACCCCTCCTCCCCCAGCAACCACTACCCGCCAGCCACCTTCTCTACCCAATTCCCCTATAGCCAAACGACCAAAGACAACAGCAACCATGGCCCCCGCAGCTGAATCGGCTGCTGCCCCAGCTCCAGCTCCATCAGAATCTACTACCACCCCCAGCGCAACCCCCGCCGTCACCTCGCTCTCTCAATCGAAGGCTCCCCCTCTCCTGGTCAAAAAGCTTGTTCCCACTGCCCGTGTTCCCACTCGAGGTTCAGCCTTTGCGGCAGGATATGATCTATACTGCGCGAAGCCAATTGTAATCCCAGCCAAAGGGAAGGACCTCGTCAATACCGGACTGGCAATTGCTGTTCCAGAGGGGACTTGTAAGTGTCTTCTATCCCTATCTCCGAGTCCTGCGCGTGTATAGATTGGAATATGCGAAGCGATATGATAATGCAGCTTCGCCGCCAGTTAACTCTTCTACCTGCTTGAATATAGACGGGCGTATAGCACCTCGCAGCGGCCTCGCGTCGAAACATTTTATCGATACGGGCGCGGGTGTCATCGATGCGGATTACAGAGGCGAAGTCAAAGTTTTGCTGTTCAATTTCTCGGATACGGATTTTACAAGTATGCTTTTTTTTCGGGCACTTTTTTCCAGCTCCCCCTACCTACACTATATAACAAACATCCTTCTCGTTTCATTTATTTGCAAGATGAGGCTAACATCTGAAATTTGTGCAACATAACAGTCAACGAGGGCGATCGCATTGCCCAATTGGTTCTTGAACGGGTATGTAATCTCGCTTTTTCAAAACAAACAAACAAAATAAAATAAAATAAAATAAAAATTCAGGGCAGAAACATGGCTGGTGCTGACATTTCAATCTTCCAGATTTATACACCTGAGGTAGTAGAGGTGGAGCAGCTGGAAGAGAGTGTCCGTGGTGCCGGTGGCTTCGGAAGCACGGGATAAATAAACATACATTGTGCACTCGAATTTTTTTAGAAGGGGTTGAAGCGTGCATTTTCGTTAGAGGATAATATTTTATGTGACAATTGACTGATGGGTGTGCCTCGTTCCCGCTTCCGCGCGCATGTAGAGAAATATGGAAAATGAGATGGAACAATAGAACCAAGCGGGTGTTACCTGTATGTGACTTGACCCGGGCTAAATCTACCATGATATGTTGTTTCCAACAACTTGAGAGCCGTTTGTTTACTTTCGGAAGATGAAACGAATGAATGGAAGGATGACTGAATGTGAATGTTCGTGGGCTTGGATATCTGACGTTCCCATACAGGAAACCAAATATTGTTGAACTTTTATTTGATGGTAAGGATGAGTCAAACCAGCCTATTTAAGCCAGTTAGTTGCAAGCCAAATATTCATGGGTGAGGAGTAATTTCTTTTCTCTTGATATTTTTCTAAATAAAAATAGATATATTCAACCCGAGTCTATGATATAGCTTAAAATCCAAAAACGAGGGCATATATCCATGCAACTATCACTCTCAATCCACACCGCCGCCTACCCTGGTGCACATCTAGCTCACCAGAAACGAGTAAATCCAAAAATATAGCGAAATAAACCAAACCTCCCACGGAATCTATATATATACATCCTTATCCAACCACCCTCCCCAACCCGGTTGCTAACATCACACCTTCCATTCCTCCGCCACAAACTCTACTCCCCTAGGCTTCTTCAGCAACTCCGCATTTCTCACAAGTTGTATCTCCGCCGCCTTGGTCTGACGAAGATACGCCCTTTTCTCCCGTGCCTCCCGCCGCTCCGCTTCCGACAGCCCCGCAAACTCAACTGCATCTTGCAAACGAGTCACCTCGTCGTCGTCGGACGGGTAACGTGCCAACTCGGCACTCCTCGCCTCCATGGTCTTCTCGAGAATGCAGTGCATGCTTGCGAGGACCTTGACGGTGGACTGGGCGAGGGGCAGTTGGTTGGCGGGGACGAAGTCGGGAGATTGCCAGGATGGCGTGTTGCGGAGGAGGGGGAAGGATGGGGGAGAGGATGCGGATCGGAGCTGGGGCGGTGCTACTGGTTGTTCCAGATTACTACTACTGGTAGAAGCAGTGGTGGTTCTACTCGCGGGGTTTGTGCTACCGCCAGCTTTCGCATCAGCCTCAGCGTCCGCGTCAGCTACAAATACGGCCTCGCGTAGCCGTGCGACACTCATTGCGGCAAACATGTCTCCCGTGCCGCAGAAGAAGCAGTCTAGACGGGGGACTTCGATTTTGAAGAGGCGCGGGCTCCCATCGGAGCGTGCGGTGGAGCCGATTATGGTTAGTGTGTCCTGTCGGGGGGAGTCTTGGTTGATGGTGCCGCTTTCTGCTTTTGTAGGGCAGGATATTGCTGAAGAATCAGATGAGGAGCTTGGTGGGAAGTGAACGGAGGTTACGATGATGTGTGGGACGTTGTATGTACGATGTAGGGTGGTGATGGCGTCCGCGAGGGTGGAGAGCGATGTTATTTTTATACCGGAGAGGAGTCTGGGGTGAGTAGGTTAGATTTGGAAGCGCTGATACGCATGTTCAACTTTGAAAGATGGGGGGGGATTATATATAAAAAGGGGGCCACATATGGACGTTTCGCAAAATGAACATGTCCCTACTTACTCTGCCTCGAATTGGTTTGGCAATATTAAATCAGCATGAGGAATGAGTTTCTTATACGCGGGCACCACATCCTCATTCACGTAGATCTGCCCTTGGTCACCCATTACCGGGTCGAGAACTAGTATGAATAATCCTGTTAAGTATTTCACCTTCAGAAGCACCAGATGTACCAGAACAAGCGATGTAGGAAATATATTCCATAAAAACGCACCCCAAAAGAATGATCCGGGTTTGTCACGGGATCCCCGCCGTAAATCAAGGGCTATTTCGCCAACAGCCTCTACAGCTGCTGCGCTAGGTGCATATCCAGACAGCAGGACATCGAAATCGGTCAGGTAGTTTAGCTTCAGGCCTTCGTAGAGAGCCGAGATCTCTTGTGCAGTAGATTTCGTGCCTTTCACATGTGTGTAGCCGGTATGATTACCTGTACATGTTTGAAAAACTGTGTCAGACAAAAAAAGGTGACTACGCGGTATCTCCTATAATGAATGTCGAAATGACAAATGTCCCAAGAAAGGGGACATGTATGCTGGGAACCCTCACTAAAATTGACGGTATTTATCGCTGCGACATCGCATCCTAAGGACTGCATGACGAACGTTGCCATCGTATTGCCGACGTATCTGCATGGAGGAATTAGGCTTGAAATCATGATACTTCAAAAAGGCACAAAGCTCGGCAGGCATGTGGGCTTTCGTCAATAATGTAGGATTGGGATACAGCCCAACGCGCATAGTTTCTTCTTTGACATCAACTGAATAAGAAGCTGCAGAGCCCTCAAGTTTTGGCCGTACAGAACAGGGCAAATAAGCAAATCGAGTAGACAGTGCATAGAGCCCATTGAGCCACAGTGGGCTTCACAGAAGAAACGGGGACGAATAAGCGCGATAAAGAAACAGATTCAAACGCACCCATACGTAACCTTTATGTATAGAAAGTCAGTCACTGTCAGTCATAAAGCAAAGGGGACATTTAGTGGATATGAGAATAGCTATATGTGTCATACATGGCTTGCTATGGCCAACACCCGAGTTTCGGGTACCAGCGAATCGGTCGACATCTGAAAATGCCGTGGCCTATGAAACCAGCCTGAAGGAGACGATACGTACAAGTGATAGAAGAGGAATAGATAGATAGATAGATAGATGGGTAGATAGATAGATAATATACACAAAGTAAAATGTGTTGCTTTAAAAGGTTTACATATATCTGAAATTTTTTTGTGTAAGTTGGGATTTGATATCGGCGCTGTCCGGGTGTAACCAGGGAAAACGGTTGCCGAGTTGTGGTTTGCATATGCGGGACAAGCTTATATACCCTTCACTCTATTCTCACTACTCTTCTAAAAGTCATTCATTCCTAGGCATATCCACGATGTAACTGCCTCTGATATTCCACCATTACAGATATGGCAGCACCCCACTATAGGTTCGTTTCTGACTTTTCGTATTACTATACCTCCGGAACTTTCATCCACCAATCTACAAATTCTACTACCGAGCCACGATGCTCGCCCAGCACAGGATGATATTAGCAAGACCCCTATCATTTGCCATCAGAGGCTGAATAGCACAATTTGGAGCTACACCTGCTACATTTGAACTCTCAACTCCATAAAGACCTACACAATATACATGCTCTTGCCATTCGGCTGTGGGTTATTATCACGGATCAAATATTTTTGATATTCAGCCGGACCGGAGAAATGTCCATCCCGCGGATCCCCCACCAAACGCGCTTAGTCACCAGGACTTTTCTTTAACTACCCCTCTACACACGGCAGTTTCGAACAAAACACAATCGACGGCAAATAGATTTACAACCTCAATTGCTCTCTTACCTCTCTTTCGTGTTTTCCTACTACTCTCGGGTTCCGCTCATTAAATATATCTAAACATTGAACCTCTCGACTGCCCGCTCCGCAGCGATCACGCTTTCCATAAAGCCATTATGGATCATATAGCCCCTATCACAGTCCTTATTTCAGGCAATGGGTCGAATTTCCAGGCCGTCATTGACGCAATTCAGGCTGGAGAGCTCCCCGCCAAAATAGTCCGCGTAATATCTAACCGGAGGGATGCTTACGGACTCGAACGGGCCAAAAACGCCAATATCCCCTCCCATTACCACAATCTCGTAAAGTACAAGAAACAGCACCCCGCAACAGAGGAAGGGATTAAACTGGCTCGTGAGGAATATGACAAAGAGCTGGCAAGATTGATTTCGGAAGATTCTCCCGAGCTCGTCGTGTGTCTGGGGTTTATGCATGTTCTTTCTCCCGCCTTCTTGGACCCGGTCAAGGGCGCAAATGTCAAAGTCATCAACCTGCATCCCGCCTTACCTGGCGAGTTTACTGGTGCCGTAAGTGTGGACTCTACGCCTACATGAGGATAACGTGTACTATCTAGCTGTTTCAAATCATCTGAAATATATATATGCTAACCAACGGTTAACTTGGTTGATAGAATGCCATTGAACGCGCCCACGCCGCCTGGCTAGATGGAAAGATCGACCGGACTGGAGTTATGATCCACGACGTAATAGCAGAGGTAGACCTGGGACGCCCCATTCTGGTCAAAGAGATTCCTTTTATCAAAGGAGTCGATGAGGATATAAATGCCCTCAAGCGGAGGATCCACGAGGTGGAGTGGAAAGTCGTTGTCGAAGGCGTGGGAATCGCAATCCGACAACTCCATCCCACCGGGGATCCTTCACCTCCAGAAAACAGAGAGGGCAACCATGGCTCACGAGGGTGAATTCAAATAAAGTACTTGGTAGATTTTGTTATCTAAAGGTTAATTTCATGACTACCCCGTCCCGTCTCTGGCGCGCTTCCGGTGGGAATGGGAATGAAGAAAAGGGAATATTATATTGAGGGGAGGTTTGAAAACACTCTCACAAGACGAAATTATGAACATTTTTGGATCCCGGGCATTAACATGTGCTTGCGATTGGCGGCACGTTCACAGAATTGACCGACGACAGATCATTTGCTCCACTTTGGTCTCTCCTCCCAGGGGACCAGGTTAGCATTTTGGGCAGCGTTTGGAATTGGTACCTGCTGGTGGAAATAATACCTCTCTATATCTGAGCCCGACTGGATTGTAATGGGAACAGGAACAAGCAAGGAGAAGAAGTCAAAATCTGCGTGAAAGCAGAGATAGACTCATAATTATTTTCCGTGTCGAATACTATTTGATCAGTGGGTGAATATGTACCAACAGCATAATCATAGAGCGTTGATACGATATCATATCTTCCGTGGTTCCTGGGACTGCCAGGTTAATTTTTTGTTCATCTTCTAGTCGCCATTCCTAGAATCGCGCGAAGATGTCTCTGATGGATAACTATGATCTCCAGGTTGTTCTCCGTCTATGGAATATTGTCTTTATAAGGAGGAAATGCGGTGAACGGGTGCATATTTGGTCGGATCTGGTCAACTCACCACACCCTCATTTTTCTATGATACCAAATGACTGTTCCACAGGCCTCGTGCGCGCAAAATGCAATCACAGAGGGAATAATGACATAGAAGGACATAATAATGTTTTAGATGGTTAAACCGTTTGTTTTGTATATTAGATTGGGTGGGATAGGCCTTGCTCCTCACCCTGGTCTGCCCGTAACGGAAATGGAGAGTACACCGAGCTCCCGGTGGAAAGTTGCTTGGCTGCATGGCCACGGAGTGCATGTTGTACAGTACCTGCGCATGGATGTATGATTTATGTATAAATGCAGGCGGTATACATATGGCTCTTGGGGCTGTGAAATTGGTGGGGAAGCGAGGCGCTGATGCCACGGGTACAGGCGCATCATGGAAGTGTGATTTGTTTTTGAAAGATGCAGCGACGAAAAGGAGCGGAGATTGTCGAAACCAGGGAGAGAGAGAGAGAGAGAGAGAGAGAGAGAGAGCACGATGCACATAGCTAGTCTCGCACATGCGCCTCGTTGGAGCATCTGATATCGACGCTCGATTTGCCTCCCCTGTCTGCCCGTAGATGGAGGCCGGGACGATATGTTGGGGTGCAGGGCGGATTCTGCCCAGCGCTTATTGAGTCCTGATGAGGGCATTGAGGATAGAAAGGATTAATAGATCCATGGATGTGTGCGATGTCTGGACCTAGGTAGGCAGCCCTCAGCAGTGGATATTTGCGATTCATCTCCCTATAAGACTCGAGGGATGGTTGAGAATCAAACTATTCATTGTTCCAAGGGGATGTTGTTGCAAGGGTTGAGCTGCGAATGGCTGGGCTGGTTTTTTGGCAGTGCAACCATTCCAAGGTTCCATTATTATTATTAATTGTCGACATCAACAACTTCAAGCCGTTGCTGGGGTACATATGTACTCCAAGGCATTAATTATATTTACACAAGAGGGACTCTGTGCTGGCGTTCCAATAGCGTGCGGATACAGCTGGCGCTCTGCACGAAATCCTTCCAACCAGTGATGGGTTCCTCCGAACCTCCACTTAGTAACTGAAGAACTTTCCTCTCTCGCTTTGGCCAGCCTCCCTAAATATGTAACTACCTGGATGATGATGGATAACTGAAGGCTGACGGTCTCCTCTCCGAATCCTGATGGGCCAAGACATAGGGGACGGACGTGGACACTATTGGCCTAAGTGCGCCATAGAATCATTTCGCGTAACAAGCCACAAATCACCCTTGCGGCAGTCTATGTCCAAGGGCCTTTGAATAAGGCTCAAAAAATAATCATCCAGCGCACAATGCTAATTAAGCATGTGTACACTTCCTTGTGGTTCTATGAGTGCTCGGAGGAGTGAAACCCAGCTTACTCTGCACAAACTACGGAGTATGCATTTCGCAGCGGCTTGGATCATGGATCCTTCCAGCGCCATGTGTATACATGTACTCTAGTTAACTACAGAGTACGGAGTAGCTGTACTCTGGATTTGAACCACGAATAACTACAAAACTACACCAGAATTCTTGAGCTTGTCGGGTTGGGACTCTGAGCTTTCTCACATCATCTCAAGCCCAGAAATACCCGATGTAATCTTCAAATTCGATCAAGGGTCTGGTCTCCCTCTCCCATAAGCCTACGCAGTAGAGGCCCATTAAATTTTGCCCAGCGCCGGACGACCAAGGATTGTTTAATAATAGACACATCATCCAACGTTGATAGTTAACTAGTCCAATCGCAAACCCTAAAAGACACAGGGGGGGATTGATCCAGGTTCCAACTAACCACTCACTCTGCAACTGGGCAGTAGTGGCCATGGCCATGGAGCAATCTGTCGAAGAATCTGTCCATGCACATGGAGATTCGCCCTTATGATGGGATGGATCCCTGGGCGGTGTGGTCTAACCCGGCGACAACCAAGGATGCAGAGATTTTGACTGCGAAGCCCATGCTCATCATACTCATTCTTTTATTTGGCCCCAATAGATAATACAATAAATGACCGCCTGACGAGTGACTAGAAATATCGCCAAAGCCAACGCCAGAAATGTTTACAATTTAAGGCGGAATAGGGTCGGTCGCTTGGCTTGCGGCTGAGTTGGGCTCTCGACCTGCTGAGGCTATTCATCTCCAGATCTATTATAATATTAACTAACAGTTGCCTTTGACATCGCACTTTAGCACCCACCGAGTTCCAGACCATCACAGGCCCCCGCCGTTTAATTGCTCTTGCTGGCCGTTGACGTTTAACCGCTGCCAAACAAAAATCCCTCCGACGTTTCTTTATCAAACGCCGTGGGGCCTCTTTGTTTTGTTCTCTCCGTGCGCTGCAAGGCCGACAAGTCAAGACCCTCAACCTGGCCCACGCTCAATTCTTCTTGTTCCTTTCTTGGGGCCGCTCACAGCAGGAGACACCACGGATGTCTGCGTTTTCCTTTCGCGGGCTCAACTCACAGATGTGATGCAAGTCAATCTCCTCTCGTGCTGTTGATTTGAAGCCCGTTCTACTTCGCGCCACCACCACATTCATTGAAATTCCCACTCTTTATATCCTGCATGAATGCTCTCTCCATATGCGCGGTTGACATCTCAATCCATCTAGCCTTGAAGAGCATTCCCACAATCGTGGTTTTTTGAATTATCTTTCTCCACCTTGTTTATGTCTTTGCTGCGGCGACGGCAGAGACTCAGACCTAGCTGGCGGTGTCCAATGCGAGCATCAACGCTTGCTTCTACTTGTACTCTCTCAATGTCACTTTGGACCTGTTTTCTGCTGGTCGTCCTGTGGTTGCCCTTAGCATCGGCCACGCTACCAGCTGCTCCAGCCGTTGCTGCCCTTCCTAGCGTTATTAGTCGGATCCATTATTTGTTGATCGCAAATAACAACCCTGGAGGTGATCTAGGGAAGATCGTCGTCGATCCACATTCGCCATCCCTCCTGGCACAAGCACACGTAGATGTTCCTCTACAACGACGAAGCTCAGTTGCAGATAGAGCAGTGGATGAAAGCAATGACAAGGACGACAAGACAACTTCAACGACCACCACTAATTATCCGATAAAAACGAAAACTCCATCCCCTTCATCGGAGACGACCGGAGACTCTTCTTCAACTTCTTCCCCCTCAGGAGCGGCGACTTCCAAACCAACCGAAACAGGCTCACCTACTGAGAAGACTAAATCCCCAACCCCAACCGAATCGGACAATAAACCTCTCCCAAGCCCCTTCGACAGTAACCTAGGATCTAATTTTACAAACCCCGCCTGCGAAGGCTTTTTCCACAGCTTCCTCGGCAACACTTCCTTCCAGGACTGTCTCCCCGTTTCCCTCCTCCTCCAATCATCGCTCTCGTTCTTCGAAGCCTCGCGCTCCGTCGTCCGCCTTACCCGCACCCTCGATGCCGCCTGCTCCATACCCCGGGACTCCTGCAGTGCGCTCATGAGCGACCTAGCCACCAAGCTCACCTCCAAGGAGAACTGCGGCGACGACCTCAAACGTGAGCAACCGATCGTCATCCAGGCACACAACGGCCTCCGTTCCTATGGAACAGTCCGTTACGCTACATGCCTTAAAAACCCAGACACGGACAATTACTGCTTCTCCGACTCCATTTCCAACGCCACTAATCCGTCCAATGCGTTTATCTACTATCTGCCCCTGGGTATGCCATTACCCGGGTCCAGCCGGCCAACCTGCAACAAGTGTCTGCAGGCGACAATGCAATCCTTCTCGAATGCGGCGACGACTGATAATCAACCCATCTCTAGGACCTATCTCTCGGCCGCCAATCAGATTAATATTGAATGCGGACCGTCATTCGTGGTCGCGGCTGTGAAGCTTGGGTCGGAGAATGGTGCCAGTGCGACCACGCGGCTGATGCAGGGGTCTTCGTTGTTTGGGTTCAATTTGATAGGGGGGATGGCTTATATACTGCTCTTCTGTGTTGGGATGCCGCTTCTTGGTAATATTCTATGATAATGTGACTTTGTTATTTTTCTTCTTCTTCTTCTTCTTCTCATATTTGTATAGTTCAATATTTGAACTTTTCAATTCTAATTTTATACACATTCTTTTTCCCAACTACTTGGGACATGACTGCATTGCTATTGGGTGCTATTGAGGGATAACTTGCTTTTTCCATTGTATATATTTAAATTTACCATTGTTCCAGGGAGATTTTATTAGTATTACTTACACCCCCCACATTCCACATCTTTTGCAATATATATTCTAGAGGCCGCCCACCCCAACAACCTGATGTGATCCAATATAGAGACCCACCTCCCTTTCGCCATATCTCCTGGATCAAGATGCTCTCTTTACGGAATAATCGGAGAACGGTGAGTGGGCCGCGAGCTCCATTAATGGATCCCTGCTTAAATACATGGCTTGCTGTCAACGGTTACACCGCACCCACCATATATGTATTCATATTGTCGAGCACAACATGCCTGCCGCCGAAATCGCATGTTACTATTATTCAATATGTAATGTTATCTCCCCCTTGTGCATCCATTCTACATTCACGCAGCAGTTACTTCCCCCCCAAAACTCTTCGTTGTGTACATGTATATGTAATCACTAGTAGGGAGGTAGGGTAGAAGAAAAGGGGAAGGGTTGGTGTCGTTGTCCTCGGCCTGTTCTGCGGGGGCGATATGCACTGCACACAGCGATTAAATTTACCGCATAGCGCGCGACGTAGTCATCTTCCGAATATAGCTATAACCTCTCAATCTCCGGCTCCTGCTTCTTTTCTCGCATCATATTATAAACGAAACAAGCCCCCGGGCATATTAAAATTTCAGTAAACCCTCCCTTTTGTGTCAAAACAGAAGAAGGTAGTGCAAATTGGTACATAAGTCAAAGGGGGAAGCTGTCTGTCTGGAGTCTTCCTTCAACTCTCCAACTAAAACATCATATATATATGTATTAATTGTATTACAAACTCCAAGCTTCAAAATTCACCTACCAATTCACTCATTCCCCCCACACCACGTACCTATCAACTGGTACCTCTTAGCGCTTGAAGGCTTTTAGGGGGGAGGCAAGAGTGCCATCCAATATATTCTCGAAAATTTCCTCCACCAAAAGCCTGAAGAGACTCAGTATATATCACAACCACTTTTTACCTCTCCCCCCCAAAGCGCCAGACAGCTGCTGACTACGCGGGAACGTATGATGCAAACGTTTTGTAGCTCGGAACTCTTTCAATGTAGAAGCAGATCTGACACGTTTCTCGAAGTACACATGAATTCGAGAGCTGGATGAGTTAACGCTAATTGGCGGCGAAAGTGATGATGATGGTGATGGTGAACCGGATATAAAAACGGCGCCCACACATCGACGTCGTACCTGACACCGTTTTCCAAGGTAAACCTTTACCTTCTGTCGCTAAGGGTGACACACACCGGCAAAAGCCCAAGGAGGAAAGGAGGCTGAAGATGGCGCGGAATAAATTCGACTGGCGTGTGGGGGCGCTCGTATTTGGCGTTAGATTTCACTCATAGATTGTTGAAGCAGACAGATGTTCGACCTGCTGCTGGCCCGACCAAATGGTGAAAGAAATTAAATCGCCAAAAACTCGCGCTTCGCAGATGGGGGGACTTGAGTAGTCCTGAGAAATATACTCCGTAAACTCTAGCAAATTTAATGTCGAAGACGCCAATGACACAAGTTCAATGCCAACGAATATAGGGATATAAAATTTACAAATGATTTGCTTTGAGTGTTCTCACCTTCGAAAATGATGTGAGGAAAAACTTCAACAAATGCAGTGGGCAAGTCTTTTGGCTGGAATATTATTGTATAGTCGAGTACGCACATCAGCTCATCCATTATAGACACTGACTGAGCCTGGGCGCACTTGGAGTATACGCAGCTTCAGACAGCGTATTATCACGTCCCACTTGGAGTCATAAGAGACTAGATGAATACTGGGCCCTGGTCATCCCTCTGCAAGCGTTGTCTTTTGCTAATAGGGGTAGTCTGCGCGAATGTTCCAATGAGGTTGAGATCATGTAACCGCAGGCTTCGCTGTGCCACGTATATTGTTGTAGAAAGCCTAAGATGGTCAAGATAAACAGAGGCAAATCGGCGCAATCAAGCGCGCTTGATTGTTTTTCTCGATATCGATCGTACCGTGCCGCATTCAGAGTTGAACTTGAGAAACAATGAAGATGAAAATAACAGAATCTTCCAATATTGTTTATTACCAGAGACAGAGAATCTGTTAATGAATATATGAATGGATTTTCAGCAGTTAAGAGATGTGGAAGAAGAATCCAGAGCTGCTTGTGCTTGCTTCTACATGTGTAGTTAACAGTAGCTGCCTGTGCAGAAAGAAGGTGTAGCCTATAACATGTCCCCCTTGCAGTATGCCCTAAGATCAAAGGTTGTTATTTCAAACATTTTATCCGCAAATCGAAACATGGGTGGGGCCAATAAACAAAAGTACAAATCGCAACATTCAATTGGATGATCGAATAGACGAATAGATGCATGGGAACTGGAATAACATTGGTTCTTAAGGTTTATGTATGGTAGATGCGAAATAGGAGGGTCATGGCTAATTGCTGTATATATATGGATTATATATATATGAACATTAGATAGCATGGAGTGAGGGTGTGGCAGGATTATCATGTTGAACTCAAAGGGCAAGATGTAGTTGTCATTACAAGCAACAGAAAAAAAATATTGGACATTAGCAGGGAAGGATTATAGAAGAGTGAAATAAAAAAGGAGACTGAGATGGTATGTGGAGCGCTAATCAACAAGGGCATTCATGGAATAAAAGTGCATGTTTCATACGCAGCTTGTATCGGAGTAACAGTAAGTATGGGTATGTGGACACTTTGTCCTAACAATAAGAGAAAAAAACATGTCTAGCTTCTCCTGGCCCATCCCGACCCGGACGAATCGTTCTGTAGATCTCCATTGGGGCTGCCTTTTTCTGACTCTTTCTCTCTTTTTAATCTAAAATAAGCAAGTTTTGTGAACCGGCTTAGCTGTGTCCAAAAATGACGGCCGGCTTCGTGCGCAGAAATACGGTCTAAAAGGCCGATAACAGCTTCTCGTACAGTAGGATTGGGGTGGAAAAGGCCCATGGAGATGTAAAACAGGCCTGCCTGACTTTCCGGCGTTACAGTCAGAAGCTGGCATATGGAATTATAGTCTTGACAAACCTGGGAGAGGGCAAGATAAATCTGTGCTGAATCGGCGTGGCTTAGTTTAAGGGACCGCAGCCTATCATGATGATGATGAATGTCGATGGATTGAACAGGCCTCCCCGTCAGATAGAGTGCTGCAGTATCCTGGATGAAGTAGTAATATGAACGAGTGTTCCTCCAGCCTTCGATTCGAGATACCCAGGCAGTCAGCTCACGCTGTTTGGTAACATCGTCGGGCCATACATAGCCATGCCCGCGCAGAGATTCGTAAGTCCCAAGCTGGCCACCTGGTCGACCGTCCACGGAACCCTCCCCAGGGGCCATGACATAAAGTGCGGTTGCCCCGTATACGGTTTGCTCAAAAGTGGCAGAAATCCGGGTAAATTTAGTGATATAAGCCCGCCACTTTGCGCGGATTGCTCCTTCTCCGTGTCGCGATGCAACACTTCGAAGGATGTCATCCATAAAAAGCGAATCGCCAGTTAGGTCACTTAACGAAGACGCGGAATTGAGTACTGATGGCTGCGTGGTTAAATTTTGCTGTTGGAAATATAGAGACCCTTCTGTAACCGGAGCTGGTTCAATACGACTGCTTATCTTCATACGGCCACTCGGGAGATCGCATAGAAGATCCCACCACTCGTGATGGTTGGCAAAAGCTGGGTTGGTCACACCGGCCACAAATCCGGGGACTTTCAAGAGTTCATCGATTTTAGTCAGATCGGTGTAAGGGAACGCATGCCGCGTAAAACCGCGGAGAATGCCTCCCGATGCCAAAGAACATGCGGCAAGAACAGCTTCAGCAACCTCTCCAGACGGCCGATTGTGACCCAAAAATATAACGCGTTTTTGAGTAAGCAAAGCATTGACCAAGACAATAATAGGATGCGTGTATGCCCCACTGCTGGTAAGGTGAGGGTGCAACCCAAACGGCTGAGGTGAACTGGCGTGGGGAGCAGAAAATATCTGTATGAGTTTTATGAGAGAGAAGTCGCCGACAGTTTCCGGCGAAATAGCTGATGGAACTTTGACTGGGATTGCAATATCGTTATAAATAATTTTGGACTCAAATTCATGGGTATCTCTGGGCAGGGTGTATTTCGGAGACGGAGAGGAGTGCTTTTGGGGGGATCCCTCGCTGTCATGAAGGAACCGTTCATCCGCCAATCTTTGCTTAATCATCTGCTCGAATTTCTCAATGAACATATCCTTCGAGTCACTAGCCTGTAGGATATGCCGTTCAAGGTAGGTAAATCTGGGTAACAATGAAAGATCCATTGCATTTAGCGAGTTATACAAGGCGGCCAGTGTTTCTGGGAAGGGGGATTTAAAATAATCTTCCAATGCTAGTAGGAGTAAAGGCTATATGGACCAATTAATAAGCTAGGAAAGATCAGCGGAAAGTGGTGTGTTGCATTGTATCACAAACCTTATAGATATGAAGAAAAGAATGCCGTGTACATATGGCCATAGCTTTAACAACAGCTCCCCTAGAACGGTATCAGAATCACATATAATGAACTAAAGATAGATGGAGCCATATCACGTACCGTTTTACTGATGTATCTTGTTTCGTGTTGACAAGATTTAATACATACATAAGCGGTGGGCCTTCCCCATTCTCGTCGTCCTCTTCATCTTCATCAACCACAGATGCCTCAGAACTGTCGTCGTTCAGACCCTCATTTTCTTGACTAATATTATTATATTCGGTCTGTTGGCCTGCAGTGGGTTCCACATATTCATTCTCTTCCTCCGACCCAGCATCCTTGTGAAGGAAAAATATGGTCCAATCTTGACTGCGAACATGTGTTTGATCTGGCAACATGAGTTCCGCTAACATGTGTTCATCTCCGCTGATCGCACTGGGATATTGATGCTCCATAATGGGGCCACGGTCGACATGGAAGGAGGCGACAAGTATATACTCGACGTGTAGCTCTGGAGAGTCTAGAGGGTACTGGGATTTTAGTCTGCGTTGCTTCGCCTGGAAGCTGGTATACGATTTGGTAGATAGCGGGCGGGAGGACGAGAATGAGCTGTTTGGGGATCGTCGACGCAGAGAAGTCTGCGAAGAGAGTTTTCGAGGGACATTGCCAGAGGATTGGCTTGAGGAAGCAGCGGACGTTGGGATAGACGCAAAGGAAGTCCGTCTCTCACGAGACGAGCCGTTTGTACCAGGGCGATGGGAGATAGCACTCATGATTGGAATGAATAGAAAAGAGTATAGCGCCGTCCAGTGGGGAGGGCAGTCGCATATTTATTCACGTCTTGACGATGCATGAGGGTTTAAAATAATGGCTTCGCGATCACGTTAGCGGGTAACTTATTTATTTAACGTAAATATTATGACGGGAAGTGCCTGGGGTTTAGAAGAAACGTTCAGGGGCAGCTGGGCAAAAGTTAATAACGCACCACCGTTTCTATCCACTTGAAGAACAATTCGATCAAACCATGGCTCTGCAAACGCTATAATTGATAAAACGAAATACAGAGAGAAGGTCGTACTCCATGATCCAGCAGAATTCCATGAGCCACCAGGAGGAGAGGAATAAGCCGCGAGTCTGACTTCTCTCCTGGACTTTTCGCTATGTTCCGCAGAGTGCACGTGCCACCAAGCCTTACCTGAGTACCCGGGACCGGATTATCTGTATCCGGGTGCGGGGGAAATGGAGGA